AAATTTTTTTATAAATAAGGAACATTCTACGTATATGTATGTATATAACCTATATATATATATATATATATATATATACATACACATATTTCGAAACATGTTAATATTAATATTATTAGTACTAGTTAATTAAATAATTTATAATTTATATAATCTATCTACAAAAAAATGTCTATTTTTTTTCTAAACTATGATTGTCTATCGTGTACCACTACCACTAGCATAGTTACTATCGGCACTGGCAATCGATCCATCACTACTCGACTCATCAGGACTATAATTCACAACTCGCAGATCTTGAAAAGAGGCACTATACGTATTCTCTAAGTGATGTTGATGTTTATCATCATCATCCAAATAATTGCTTAGGCTTGAGGATTCGGTGGACGGTGGTGTGAAGGTGATAAATGTGTCGGTGCCACTAAAACTTACAGTTCTGCCTGATTGACGTTGTTGTGAAAGACGTGATTGATGTATAAGTATTGATGATCTTGAAGTTCTTGCGCTATTATTAAACAGCAGGCCTGATTCGGAATTTGATGGTGTGTGGAATTTGCTCATCGTTGATACGGTGAGTGATGGTGAGGCTGGATTAGAATCAATAGTAGTAAATCCATTATTACCATCACCATTACCATTACCGTTGTCATTACCATTACCATTGCCATTTTGATTAGGTATTCTAAATATTCTTAATGCTGTTGAAGGTCTCCTACGATTTTCATTCATATTAGCACGATTATCATTATCGTTAGCAGGTGATGGTGGACTGGAATAACGATTGGAAACAAGTATTAACCCGCTTTCTGCTTCACGTCTATGTTTACGCACAATATAATAGATCAGAATTGAAAATCCCAATATCAACAGCACCACACCACCAACCGATAACCCGATTATTAATGGCAAATTTATCGTTATCCCCTTCGAACCACCGCTGTAAGGATTTGGGTTTGTTATATTGCTAACTTCTGATGATACATCTGGGGGTTGTATAATATATTGATAATCGTAACTCCAGCTCCAATTTGCTGTGTTCAACACGTACATGTTTGAATCTGCCTTTAATCCAACATTTCCTACATTATCGAGAAATAAAAAATTATCAATATATTATTACATCACACACAACACATCACGACATATTCACAACATATTATTAATATTGCATCATCACCACATACCAAATGCTACGACCATGTTGATTCCTATAAGCGTGGCAGTGTGTCTAAATCTTTGAATTGGTGTACCGGTGGTTGTAGGTGTTGACCATGTCCATGTGTCTGTGTCAAGAACTGCCACGTCAGCATAAATCACCGAATTTCTTTCATCTGCTCCACCATAAATTATTATTTTGGTATTATTTAAAACAACGGCAGAATGGTCTCTTCTCGAAGCGGGGATGTTTCCGGTAGCAGCATAGGTTGACCAATTATTTGCATTCAAATCATAAACATGAATGTTTTTAAAATCATCAAGCAAAAACAAATCGTTCATTCCACCCAACACAACCATCCTATTACCGCTAATCAACGAGACAGTGTGTTGTTGTAACGAACCAGGTGATGATTCCAAGCTTCCATAATTTTGCCATTGACTGGCTTCTGGTAATAGCGGACTATTCAAACCCCACATATCAGCATTGACATACGATTTCTGTGATCCGGTCGAGTCGTCACTTTTCCCACCATAAATCCAAATTTCACCGTATTGATCAATCACGCATGAGTGCTCGTATCTTCTGGTTGGACTATTGTTAACAACAGCATTGGTGGATTTTTGTTGAATAATAGCAGGGTTTACAAATCTTTTTGTTATGGTGTCAAAAATTAATACATTTTGATTTTGAGTTGCGATAGGATCTTGCACGCTTCCGCCAATTATTATAATATCGTTCAGCTTGTCACCAATTCCGCTACTTGCCGTATGTCCATTAATTTTTGGTAATGCCAGTAAATTGTTGCCGCTACCGTCATCATTTAATTTCAAGTCATTATCGGTGATTTCTTGGGCTGGCCATGTTGATACATCCAATAGATTGAATGGTTTTGACATGTCAACCACAATAAGACTGCTTACAAAGGCATCCTTTTCTCCTCTTCCTCCTATAAAATATAATTTATTATCGATCAATGTTGCAGTGTGCCCATACCTTCCTGCTACGCTCGTTAAAACACCATCCACATTATTTACACATATCAATATTATTGCTAATACTAATATTATAAATGGCGGTAAAGAAGAAAAAGAGGGAGGTGATGGTGATGGTGAAAATGTAGGTTTTGATTTTGTAATATGCATTCAATTAGTTAAAATTGATTGAATGATTGAATGAATGATGATGATGATGATTGATGATGTTATATATAGGATGTCGGTAATGTATTTTCAAGGATACTAAAAAAATTTTTTTTTTTTTGAAGAGGAAATGATGAATATTTATATGCGGAAAAAATTTGGTAGGGGAAGTTATATGAGTTTGGAATTTATTATTTAGGAAAATTTTTATTTTAAAAAGTGATATATTTAAATTAAAATTTATTTTTAATGAAAGAAAAAAAGGAATGAATGAACCAAGATAGAAATTTGATATCTAAGGAAATAAAATTTTTATAATTACTATTATTACTATTACTAATTAGGTTTTACAACCGGCGATGATTTATGAATTATAAAGAATTAAAGTTTGTAATTTATTGATAGAGTCCAGATAATCTTTATTAGAAATACTTGAATCGATAGGTCCAATTCCATTTAATTTTTGAGTTATTTCATTAATCTCCTCTTGTTCCATGTTTTCTTTACTTGCTATTTCTTTTATGGCTGGTTCCAGGAATTGTCTCAAATATTCGGATACCTCTTTATAATTTTTACCACAATCCAAAAATACAGCACCAATATATGCTTCAAACGCATCCTCTATAAATTTTTCCTTGTATCTAGAACCTTCAGCCAAAGCGCCAATTCCCAATCTCAACAAATTTGGCAGGCCTATCGAAAATCCAAATTTTGCTAAAGATTTTTTGCAAACTAGTTTTGACTTTATGGCAGTTAATTTTCCTTCATTATAATCGGGAAATTTCTCATACAAATAATCAATTACCAAAAAACTAATAACAGAATCACCCAACAATTCTAATCTTTCGTTATATGGACCAGCTGTCAGTAAATTTTCTTGTGCGTATGTTTTATGAGTGATTGCTTCCAATAAATATTTTTCATTAATAAATGTTCTTTGTGGAATATTCAAATATATATCATTTTCCATTGCCATGTTTATATTTCTACTTGATAAATAAAATAACGAATATGAAAATGAAATTATTAACGTTTTTTTTTTTATCCTTTTTTTAACAGAGATGATATAAATAAATGTGTATTTTTTTTCCCTCTATATGTATCGATTTGGTAAGGAAAAATGGCTTCATAGTTTTTTTTTTATGTTGATTTACAAAAATGCTTTCCTTTTAGAATCATAGTTTCCTTCTATATATGTTAATATTAATATTAAAATTAGAAAAGTTTTACCATTATGGTGGTGATCTTTAAATAATGGGCGTGGGGGTGATTTTTAATACAAAATTTTTAATTCGTCACTCGCAGGATTTATAGAGCAAAATATTGGCGACCAAATCAACACCTGCCTTGCAAGCTTTAAGATTGGATTTTTCTAAAACATCGTTTCGACCATGTAAATCCAGGAGGTGAAACGACGTGGTAGTTTTCTCTAGGGATGTCCACCGAAAACCTTCCCTTTTCGATAGTGAAAGTAATTTCAAACATTCACAAGATCATACCGAAATTCAAAACCTAAACCTATATTTGACCAAAAATCGTTTAATTCTTTTTTGACTATCAAAAATATAATCACAAATCATTATCAAATTTTTATAATTAACCCTAGTTTTTTTTCTAAATTCAAACCTTTTTTTTTTCTAGCCGAAAACTATGTGAAGATTATGAAAATAATGAAATAGATAATCATCATGCGGTTTCAAATTCTGATTTTCCAAGTGTCACGAAGGATTTGAGGAAATCATTCATATCGATAAAGAAATTGATTTGATGGGAGTAATATGTGTTATATATATTAAATGTGCTATGAGACAGAGGTCCATAAAATAAAAAATAAATAAGAGATTTTGTGAACACGGAGACATGTAAATTGAAGATTAAGTGGAAATTTAAGTATTTTTAACTTCAAATTAAAAATGCCCAATTTTTGTACAAGTGGTAGAAAAAAGTACATTCGTACATTTTTGCAAACAATTAGTTTTTTTTTAGAGATGTTAAATTGCTCATTAGTTTAGTTTAGGTTCGGCTCAACCCAGTTTTAGAGTTCAAGCAGATTAAACTTTTTTAAAAAACAGATTTTTGACAACCATAGTTTATGCGAATGTTGCATTTGGATGCTTTTGCCTAAAATCCCACTTAATTCCAGTTTCTTTGAGACAAAGCTCACAATTGACAAATTTCGAATCATCATCTTGTGACATATTTTCATTTAGCATAATATTATCATTTGTGATGTTTGTATAATTATCAATATAAAAACTACATTGGTATTATATTTTAGAATTTGTTCTTCAGTCATGTTGTAATTTATTAAAACAAAAATTATCATCATTATTTTGGGACTAATAGACTCAAATTCATTAATTATCTAAAAAACATAGATAATAATTTTATAGTTCAAGTGGTTGGCTATGTATATAAAATTTCTTTGTTGATTGTTTTTGAATAAAAATTTTTTTAAATCTAGAAACAGAAAAATTTATATACAATTTGGGTAATTAATGAACAAATTTAGAGGAATTATATAAGAAATTTTCTTGAGCATGTGCTTCAAACATACTCTGCCGATAAATCATACTATTTATCCTTAAAGTATAATTGAAAGCGCGTTTCCAACAGATATTAAAAATATTAATTGAATTTTGTATTCAAACTCAGTTATGATCCAAAGCAAATTAGCATCCCTAATTTTAAGTATCTCTTGTAAAAAATAAGCAGGAAATGAGTAGAAATAAGTATCTAACCTTTTAGTAGGGAAGAGCATAGCCAAAATATGATTTATTGGATCTTGGCCAAAAAATTTTAAACTGATAAATAAAATTTTTATTTTGATAAATAAGAAATAGTGGAAGAAATCTCTGCTCCGCCCAGAAATCATCGTCGAATTTAATAGGCCAATTTTAATGATATCGGATGTTACAAAAGTTATCAATTGAAGAGTATCTACTTTGTTTGGCGGGATCTAAAAAAAGTATTTTGAGGAAAAAGGAAATAGACTGCGATTAAATTATATTCCATTTATTGTTACTATGAAAGTAAATAATAAGCGTATAGAGGAACAGAATTTGCAGAATAGTTTATATACAAACTTGTTCGTTAATATTAGGTATTAGTGAATTGTGTGATCGTTTTGTCTCAAATACTGTCATTTCATTGTTTTATTGGGTCTGGGTCTGCGTCAATTTGAAATTCACGCGCGTGAAATTCAAATTAACCAATCAGAATTTCATAGCATAATGGACACTCATTTTGTGCAACAGTCATTTAGTCAGGCGGTTACACAGAGCCCGTTGCTTCTGAAACTTCACTAGAATATAGCTGTAGCCTCTCTAAGTCCAGATC